ATCAGTACTTGCTCAGTAGAAGTCGATTATACATGGTGTATTTGGTATGAACAGTAGTCATACTGATCGATTGCTCAGATCAAATTAGATGTAGAAGTGTTTGAAATGTCAGTGTTCTCTAATCACTTGATCTACACTCTACTACTCAACACTTAATTGATACTTGTGATGAAAAACAAAACGTTTATAGACTGAGTGATTGATTGATTGATAAACATTTCATCTGTTCAATTGATGCACACAAAACACCTCTTTTTGCAAGTTGTTTCAATGATGTGACATTCAAACAACATGAAAATGAGAGATTAATATGTTGGACAGATGATTCAAACATCAAAACAAAATCATTGATTGAATGAAACAAAGCAGACAATTGTAAATTTGAGATTTGTTTTGATAATTATAACTGAAAAATTGATCATATTTACAACAATAGACAGACACACTTATCTTGTTCAAAATCTAGTTGTTAGAAATGTAACCCTAAAAATTTAATTCTGAAGAGAATTTATTGAAAATAGAAGAGATTTTTTCAACAACAATAACAGTAGCAACAAAAAATACTCTTTATTTTGATGTGAATGCTGGAAATGTATTCAGAGAATTTTTAGTGATGATCAGTGAACTAATTCATTCATATTAATCTGCATAGTCATGTGAGTATGTGCCATTTTGATCAATGTTTCACACTGAAATGTTGAGCAGATATTATGACAGTGATTGGTTATCTCGCGTCGATCGCACACAACTTATTTACCTAAGCTTGTTATCCTCAACGGAGCATAGGCCACCAACCAGCATTCTACAATCTAATCAGTCCTGGGCCTTTTTGATATTTCTACCCAAACGTTCGTCATTCTTCTCATGTCTGTCTTCATTTCTCAGCATAATGGATTCTCTGGTCCTCATATTCTCCTTTGACTCTGAAGATTGCAAGTGAGAGCTTGTCTTGTGACGCAGTTGGGTGCTTTCCAAAATGTGTGCCCCATCCACCTACAGCCCTTATTCCTGATTTCTTCATCCTTTAGAATCTGATTTGTTTCTCTCCTACAGTAGGTTGTTGCTGATGATGTCTGGCCATAGGATCTTCAGTATTTTGTGTATACAAGTGTTAATAAACACTTGTGGATGACAGTTTTGGTAGTTCATCAACTTTCTGCTACACACAGTAAAACTGTCTTCACATTTGTAATGTAAAAATGACTTTGGTGTTGGCTGTTAGTTGTTTTGAGTTCCAGATTGTCTTCAATTGTAGAAATATTGCCCATGCTTTGCCAATCCAGGCCTTCACATACACATCAGATCCCCAGTGCTCATCAGTTATGCTGCCCAGATAAGTAAACGTTTTTACATCTTTAAAAGCTTCTCCGTCGAAAATGATTTGGTTGGTGCATCTTGTTGCATTTCCCCTTATGTATGTTGAGACCTATTGCTGCTTAGGCTGCTGCTACACAGTTAGTATTCACTTGGATTAGTTGTTGCGTATGGGATAAGAGAGCTATATCATATACAAATTCTAGATCGTCCAGCTACATCCGAGTTGTGCAGACCGCACATAACACCGCATCTATTCACTTGAAACAATTAATAACATGAAACAAAAACTAAGGGAACGTAATTAAATATTCATGATTTGGAAGTCAGTATAAGTGAATGCTAGTTTTTCGTTTCCTCCTGCATTTGTTGTTGCGTGTGTGATAGAAGAGCAAGATCATCTGCGGGTGAGAGTAAGCAATCTTGCCGTCACTCGGAACGCGTCTGCCAGCTGTCCTCCATGCACGATTTTGCAGGTTAATAAATCGTAAGAATTCTGTATAACGACGATTGTCTTCTTAGGCACGCTGTAGTGTCTCCATAGTGTTGTTTTGTCCACACTATCAAATGCTTTCTCGAAATCGATGAAGTTGATGTAGAGTGGTGAGTTCCATTCAATCGATTGTTCCACAATATTCCATAATGTTGCAATTTGGTAGGTACACGATCGATCCCTTACGAAATCCGGCCTCTTGATCTCGAAGTTGGGCGTCTACAAAGTCCTTCATTCTGTTTGACAATACCCTGTTGAAGACTTTGCCTGGTATTGAAAGAAGAGTGATGCCTCTGTAGTTCTCACATTTGCTGAGATCGCCTTTGATGAGGTATCCTTCTAATCAGTTTGTGGGCACTTGTTCTTCGTTCCAAATCTTGTGAAATACTTTTGCAGTTGCTGCCAAGCCTACTCCTAAATCAGGCAACATCCCTCATCGGTGGTTAGGCATACGTAACACATTTCCCTAAAATTTTAACTGATGAACTTTCTCTACTTCATTAATTGATCTGCTGTTTTTACCTGCTCCCCTTTTTCTAACACCAAAATTGATTACTGGATTTTCACAGTATATACGAGTAATGCTTCTAAGACACTGATGATCAAATACTAGTTCCCTACGAATAATGTTTATTCCTACTGGCCATGTTTCACACCCGTATAGCAGGACAGAGTGAACTGGTGCACAGTAGATTCGTTTTTTGGTTTACAGTATCAAGCTATTCATCTTGTTAGATACTGATTACTAGATTAGTAAGTAGTATTATTAAGTTGTTAGTTTGTTTTTTCTCACAAAATTAAAAATAATCACGGAAATAAAAATAAATCATTGAATAATAATTATGTAAATATATATGAAAAGAAAAACAATAACAATTCCGCAAATTTTTTTTAATCAAACAAACATAAACAAAGATCTCAATAAAAAAACAACAATAAAATATTATCACATTCCACTGAATATCAATTGTTTTTCAGATAACGATGACAGTAATAACACGATGAAAATTGGTAATCCCTACGTATACAAACACACACAACAGATATACACTAAGTAGCAGTAGTAATGGTTTTTAAAGAAGGCATAATTTACTGACGAAATAGGCGTTACTTATTCACAGACTTTCCATCGCAAAACCAGTACATTATTTTCAATTAGATTTTTAGAGATTTGTGTTTTTACACATTTGAAATCATCATTCAATCATTGTTAGACCACCATTAGAAACCTGGAAGCACTGAATGCCCGTTCCGTCCTGGTATGGGACTAATCAGCAGTGCGCATCCACGACTCCTGCACCTCGCAGGATTCGAACCCGGGACCTTCGGTATTGTGCAAGAACGCCCAACCATCGGACCACTGGGCCGACATACATTATTGTCTATTGTCTTACAAAATGTTTGCTAATCTTTGAAACTCTTTGACCATGCCGGTCACTTTTCTCTCCAATCGTAAATTTAAGGCAACACTTTGATGGATACTACTTAAAAACCCATGTTGTGAGTAGTATCTACCACTACGACTACGGATAATAATAATAATGTTTTTTCTAAACCAATGCACAAATATTTTATGTTCAGATGACATAAAAACAACAACAACTGAGGAGAAGTTAATTAAAAAATTTTGTTTTTACAGCTTTAATTATTTTTTTTCTTAAGAGAATTATTTTTCCTCTTTTTTTAATCATTGACAATGTAATCATACATAACGATGTGTGAAATGATTGAGCCAGATGAAAGAACTCAATTGTAGACAGATAGATAATTAGAGATGAATAAATTAATATCGGGAAAAATAATCCGTTTTTTCTTAATTAAAAATTTTTAATTCAAAAATTACAAATTATTCATTGATAGAGAGAAATCTGGAAGCATTGAAAGATGGCCATTTCATTCTCGTATAGGACTACTCAAAAGCAAAACGCATTCACGAACCCAGGACCTACGGTTACACACGCGAACGCTTACCCTCTATACTATGGAGGAGTCGTGGCTGGTGGAGATCAATCCTATCGGGTGTAGGCAGTTACCTACAATGAAGTCACACCCAAACACCGGTGGATGTCAGCTGAGTAGTGTAGAGGCTAAGCGTTCTCGCGTGAGACTGAAGGACTTGGGATTGACTTCAAAGAGCAAGGATCTTGAATTAAGTGGTGAGCTCTGATACTGCTCTTATTTACACAAAGATGAATTTCGCAGTCAATATGTTTAACTCAACATCTTACATATATATATATATATATATATATATATATGGGTTTGCGGGCGACACCGAAGGTTCGATTCCGACGAGTGAGCGTCATGGATGCGCACTGCCACTAATGAGTCCCACACTGGAACGAAACGGCTCTCCAGTGCTTTTAGGTTTCTAATAGTGATCTATTATTGATTGATTTATGATTTCAACGAAAGAAACAACAATCTCCATAACTCTTTAATGAATTTATCAAACAGAGAAATTCGTTTATGTCATCATCAATTTCATATAAAAAAAATTCTTCTTATCACTGTTATTATTCAACATGACTGACAAAATAAAATGTGCTCACTACTGACAAGCTTCATGGGGAAATTCTCAGAGTTCTAGTGAGAAGACGTGAACAGTGATGTTTAAACTTATCGGGTTTAGGCAGTAACTACCGAAGACAAATGGGTGAGGTCGCGCAAAATATCTAGACTGATCAGAGTTAGACGCTAACACAGTTGGATGCCGGCCCAATGGTCCCGAGGTTAGGTGCTCACGCGCAAGACCGAAGGTCCGCTGTTCAATTGCTGCGAGGAGCAGGAGTCGTGGATGTGCACTGCTGATGATTCCCGTACCAGAACGAAACAGCCGTCTAATGCTTTCAGGTTTATAATGGTGGTCTAACGATGATTGCTAGATGATTTCAATGCGTAAAAACATTAATCTCCATAACTCTAATTGAAAAAAATATTTTATGACTATAAAGTAAACTGATGGAAAACACTTGATATTCCAGCGAGTCGGTCAAAAGTTCGAATTCTTTTAAACAAAATCTACAATATAATTTTTCATAACCAAATTGATTCACGCTCTAATTATGAACAGAACTAACTAAATTTTTCATTTTGCACTCGTCAACCAAAGTGTTTATAATTGATTAATTTTTTTGAAACAAAAAATCGAATATACACTACTGAATGATTAATTATAAGTAATAAGAAATAGTCAGCCATACGTACGTTCATATTCGGCTTTTAAATTATCTTCAAGTAACATGTATGGAAAGTAACCAGAGAAATCCATTAAAGATGGATCAGCTTCTAAAAAACAGAAGAAAACAGAAACAGTAGCGGTGAGTTACATGAAATCATAAAATAAATTTTAAAAAATTGTCGTGAAATATTTGTAAATATTATGTTTTTGTCAATATGAGGTTGTGAAGATTGGTGAATCTCATTGAAATCATGCACTGATTAATGATAGATTACCATTGGAAACTTGGAACAACTAAACGGTAGTTTTGTCCTAGTATCGGATTCTTCACTAGTGCGTGCATTCATGATATTGCGAGCAAGAATCGAACTCAGGATATTCTGCCTCATGTGCAAACGCTAAACCTTCTTGATCGGTCCATGATTTCAATGAAACTCAACAATCTTAACAACCCTACACTTATAATTATCAAGTCTCCACTTGTGACTAGCTTCTTAATGGAATTCTCGTATTTCTAGTGAGAAGCCGCGAGCAGTGAAAATAAATCGGTATCAACTGTGGGACAATAGTTACCTCCTGATAACGGTGGATGATAGTCGTGCGATTTCGTCGATTAATTAAAGTTAGGCATTACCACAACGACTACTAATTAGTACTTGGGGAAATTTCCTCACAAAGCTAGTCACTACTGGTCATATTGTATGATATTCATTGTAGTGTTATGAAGATTGTCGTTTTTCATAGAAGTCAATGGCTCACTGGTCTACAGGTTAAGCATTCGCATGTCAGCTCAAATGTCCTGGGTTTGACTCCCACTTGTGAAGTAATGGATATGCACTGCTGAGGAGTCTCATACTACGACGAAACGGCCGTCCAATGATTTCAGGTTTCCAAAATGATGGCTCATGATTTCAATTATATAGGTTATTTAAATTATAGCAGCAATGGACTAATCAGATATGATGAAGATTGAATTCAAGTGTTTAGATTCAGATGACTACTATTCAAACAAATAGTCTCATAGAGATTTATTCCTTAATATAACAATTGGAATTGAGAAAGCATTTAGACTTACTGAACCTGATCCAATTAGACTAGTAAGATATTTTAATAAATAGAAGGATATTTGCAGATTATTACATCAAAATTGTACAAATAATTAAGAATTGCAGCCAAAATTGAAAGAAAACCATTCGTTTAAAACTATGAACATAGTTTGCTAAATAAACAAACAAGATTCGATTTCTAAGTCACTTCTTAGCAACGCCATATTTACTCTATGTGGCAATATGAACACAGGAGAAAAGCCACGAAGTACGAAATGAACACTTTACTTCAAAGTTAGTTTATGTACAGAAAAATGAGGATGTAAATAGAGTCACATCCAACCTTACTCATTCGAAAGTTTCGGAAACCATACTAAATATATGAGAGCGGTATGATTTAATATCCAGTTAGAAATGCAGGACGTGATTCGACCTTTCCAAGATGTTTTTGAAGAGGTCCTAATCAATGTTGGTTAAATTAAACATTGCTTGGAGTTTCTGAGCTTCTAGAGTCTTTTCCTAGTGTGATTTCGTAATAACCCAACATCTTCCTTTCATCTTTTTCAAAAAACGACCACTTTTGTTTATCTACTTGCGGTTTGACTAATTGTTCACGAAGGTGTTCCAACCTTACCCATTAGTTTATTGCTAACTTATATTTACTTATCTAACCCGCGTGGTGTAAAGTACTCGCAACGTGAGTTATAGATAGTAAGTTACTACAAGTTACTACTGCTGAAGAATGTCGGATCTTAATCCATGGAGCGGTCAAAATGTTTTGAAAACTAGAAAACATTTGAAAGACAACCAGTAATTTGCTTGTATCGTTAATGGATATTTGAAGATAAGATAGTATACATTCTGGCTAGTTAACTGTGTCTTCTTTCAATACATCACTTATACCATCTAGTCTTGTTGCCTTCCGTTCGTTACACTAGTATTTACTTACTTACTAACGCCTGTTACCCCTAATGGGGCATAGGCCGCCCACCAGTTTTCTCCAACCAACTCTGTCCTGGGCTTCAATTTCTAGTTCTTTCCAGTTTTTGTTCATTCATCTCATATCTTTCTCTATTTCTCGGCGTAATGTGTTCCTTGGCCTTCCACTTTTCCTCCGTCCTTGAGGGTCCAATGTGAGGGATTGTCTCGTGACGCAGTTGAGTGCCTTTAGCAGTTTGTGTCCTATCCACTTCCACCGCTTCTTCCTGACTTCCTCCCCCACTGGAATCTCGTTTGTTTTCTCCCACAGTACGTTGTTGCTGATGGTGTCTGGCCAACGAATCCGAAGTATTTTGCGTAGACAACTGTTCATGAATACTTGTATCCTCTGAGTGATGGCTTTCGCAGTTCTCCAAGTTTCCGCTCCATACTCTAGAACTGTATTGACATTTGTATTGAAAATCCTGATTTTGGTGTTGATTGATATTTGTTTGGAGTTCCAGATGCTGTCCAAATGTAAAAATACAGTCCTTGCTTTGATTTGGATGACGCATGTTGTGTTGTATCGTAGAATCTTACTTTTCCCTTTACGTATGTTGAGACCTACTGCTGCAGAGGCTGCTGCTACACTGGTCGTCTTCTCTTGCATTTGTTGTTGCGTGTGCGATAGAAGAGCCAGGACATTTGTGAAGTCCAGATCGTCCAGCTGCGTCCTAACTGTCCAGTTGATACCGTGCTTCCCTCCAAATGCTGACGTCTCCATAATCCAGTCGACCACCAGGAGAAAGAGAAAGCGTGAGAGTAAGCAACCTTCACTGACACCGGTCTTCACCGCAAACGAGTTTGTCAGCTGACCTACGTGCACGATTTTGCGGTTAAATCCATCATAAGAATTCCGTATGATGTTGACTATCTTCTCAGGCACACCGTAGTGTCGAAGAAGCCTCCACAGTGTTTTTTTGTCCACACTATCGAATGCTTTCTCTTAGTCAATGAAGTTGATGTAGAGTGGTTGGTTACACCAGTAAGAAAATCTAATAAGTTTAAAATCTATCAACACTACGCAATTGTGTTTCACAACACTCATTATAACTACTACACTTACTGAAATCATCAATTAAAGCTCGAATAATAATTCGTTGTGAATGAACCACTGCAATATGTAAAGGTGTACGACCCTATAATAAACGGAAAGAAAATTGGCTGAGTAAAACATTCAAAAGCAAATAACAAATCAAATGTAATTGATAAATAACAATCAAATCATTTGTGTACTATTCAATTTTTTACAATTATATAAATCAATTTACCTTTAATGGTCAAGGCTGGTTTTACATTGGTTCTCATGGTAACAAGATACTGTCCACGTGGTTGACACTACAAGCTGTGAACAGTACAACTCAATCCTGTAGCGCAACCACTACATAGGTATCTGACACTCTATGGTGGACCATTCACCTTATTTTGTGTACACCAATACATATAATGATCATTATTTCCGATTCATGATCGCGTCATCGATCAATATGCATAGCATGAACATGCCAATGTGATTCAGCCTGTTTATACGACTGTCACAAACTCATTATTATTAGCAAAGGCGATATGCATTAAAGCATCCCAATGACAATAACCCTCAGAATGTTGCAAAACAACCACCACCTACAGTGTCAATCAAATTGGTCACCCGAAAAACCATTTTTGTATACCAACAAATAGTACGACTTGACAAAGTAATGCCAAACCTTCCATTATGTTCACCATAAAGAACATCTGGTCTCATAGGAAACCTTCAGCTCTATACAGCAATATAACTTAAGAGATTTGTAATACAACATATTGAAAAAGAATAACATGTTTGAGAATTTAATGAACTCAGTATAATGATTATAAAAAATCACTCAGGCTAGAGCCCTCCTACGATTACTGTTGGTCCCCAGCCCAAATTAAGGAGCAGGGTTAGGCATGGAGGTTAATGATATCAACCCGTAGAAAATCGACATGCTAAAAAAACACTAACCAGAAGAAAAATAAAAGTGCTAATCAGCGGCCTATCTTCCACCATTAGAGGTAACAAGTGTAAGTAAATACGTAAGTATGATGAAAATATCCACTAGTACATAAGGAGTGAATAGTTAGTATTAAATTACTGGGGTTAAATATTCCGAAATTATTTCAAGTTTGTTTCACATTTGAATTTTGCTGTACCTAAATCGTAAAAATATCTCTAGTCCCTGGCGCGAAATAACACACATTAACTGTGAGATATAGGTTCATCTAGATGACGAGCACTAGATAAAATAAAACCTAAGTCTCAGGTTCCGCTGAGAGAAACCCCTGATATCTGCGTAGTTTGTTGTAGTTTATTAAAAATTCCCGCCGAAAACATTGTATATGGCAGAATTCACCCGAATTAAAAAGTCACTTAAAGATGAACTAAGTTAGTTGACATTGTAAACGATGACAACATTGGAACGAGCTTAAAACAACTGCCGCAAATTTCCAGGCCAATCAGAAAACAGTTATGACGAATGGATACTTTATGGAGAATAAAATAATACTTCAAAGTGTAAAACTGTTTCAGATATTTAATAAACTTATAAATATTTTAAACAAATAAATCTGCTTCTAGTTAAAATTAATTTTAACGAGAAACGTTTTCTCATAACTCAATAATGAATATCATACAATGTGCTTATTAGTGACTAGCTTTATGAAGAAATTCTCGGGGTTCTAGTGAGGCATTTATCTACCGAATACAATCGATGGGGTTTGGTATACACCTTAGTTTGCCCAAAGTTAGAAATTAATACTATTGGATGCCACCGGTTCAGCAGTCTACAGGTCAAGCGTAAGCGCGTGAGATCGAAGGTCCTGAGTTGGCATCCCGCAGGCAGAGGTCGTGGATGCGCAGTGCTAATATAAGTCCGATACCGGGACAAGACGGCCGTCCAGTGCTTCCAGGTTTTTAAAGGTAGGCTAACAATGATTGATTCATGATTTCAGCGAAAAAGAAAATAAAACTGTTAGATCTGTGTTTCATGAGCGATTTTCATTATTCATGTTACAATATACCTCATCTTAACAGAAAATGCCAGAAATACTCAACAAATAATAAATAAAGCAAATATAAACTTACATTCTGTCATCAATAGATTGGAGCCAAAATGAGATCGATGAGTTGTCAATGGAATATTAATTAGTTGAGAGAGAGGAAAATAAAAATGAGATTTGTTAAGTGAACAGCTCACAATTTCAACAAGATGTTAAAACAAACATGATAAGTAATAAGAAATTCGTATCCGCATTCTAAACTGTTCATTGAGGTGTGAATCAAATACTTCAAAATATAAGATACACTACTCAATCAGAATTAAAAGTAGTTAGAAGTGGATAACAAAAATTTCCAACCACGATAGCCATTCAAACTACTTACTTACTTCCGGTCAGTGAACTCATGAGAATTTTGCCCTACTTATTCTATACTTGGATAATGACACAATCAAAACATTTAACCATATCACATTTATAGATTTCTTGAGGCTCTGAAAACTATTCATGCTTTCTCATTGAATGTAATAATGCTGTTTTAGAGGAATAATTGTTCGTGTTTATTTCGTTGATTCGATCAGATTTACTGGAATAAGAAATATTACAACTGAAAAAAAGTTTTTGTATTGGTTGAATTATAGATACTTCCAACCTGAGAAACACAACATTTAGCAAGTTTTGATAGTTGGCCATAATTCCAAAAAATGTTCATACATTTGACCGTGAAATTCCGACAAAAGTGGTTATAATAAACTGTGGAAAAGACTTATAGAAATTAACGTTCAGTGTAAAAATTGAACAAATGTTTTAACAGATTACTTATTTACACAATAAACTCAATTTAATCTAGATTAGAATATGAGAATGTACATGACTATTTATTGCATACAAAAGAACCAAGCCTCCAAATATCCGGATACGATCAAAAGGGTAAAGTCTACTCTTTCGCTCTCCAAAAATCCACTCACGCGGCCACGCGCGTATAGTCACAAACAAATATGTCCTACTCACTTTCATTTCAACACTAGGATGTTGTTTACCAAATTGAGAGGATGAAAAGTAAATGTACAGTGCTTGCCTCGGTTAAGGGTTACAGAGAATCAACGTAGAGAAGTTGGAAAATCCTACTTCTAAACTAATGGCACACATTGACTCCACAACCGTGAGGTAGTAAATGACAAGTGAACCAATTATTGGTCACCGGCTACCACGAGATTGCATATTCTAAGGTTACTCCATTGTCTTGTGAATTAGACATCGAGTTCTAAGTGTCGGGGAGCGGTCCATTAAAAACCAACTGCTTCGGTTTGGACACCTGTATGGTATTCCAGCTCAAAGAAAATTTAATAATTTGTGTGTTCCATGAATACTTAGGTGACACTTTGTACCAATAATTGCGTTTGAGCAAAAAAATTAGGTCTAATATGAACCATTGAATTTTGAAAGCAAAATGTGACTGATCTTGGAGGATGGACAAACAGACACTTAGCCTACTGACGATTGTAGACTTTAATTTGTTACTCTGGACTGGGCAAGTGACTGCAACATAGAACTTGGCACGTAAGTACATCAGTTCAAGTTGCCATACCACATTAGCACACACAGATGGAATTGTCGATTGGAATCCCATAGTGGTAGAGGTAGTAGAAGTATTAACTATAATGGGGAAGATTAGGGTTCGAAGATAGTATTCAAGAAATTTGTTCTAGTGAAAGAAATTTAAAAAGGTGATGAGGAATTTAGAACATTGAAATTTGAAAGAAGACAAACAATGGATGCATCTGCGCGATTGTGAACGATTTCGAACCATGTCATTCAAGGCCTCTGAACATCGATGGCTACTGTCTTACAGACGCCAACCTAATAGCCTACATCTATTAACATAGCTCAGCCCACTTGTTAGTGACTGCATGGATTTGTGCCATGTTTCGGTTTGGCCATCCTTACCTTTCTTCCGACTTACCCTTACATCAAATAACATCACTCGTCGAGGTTGAGCATATGTAACACACATCCCAAACACCTCAACTGATGAAGGTTCACTACTTCATCTGTTGATCTGCCATCTTTACCTAGTACCCTTTTCCTCACACCAGGAATGTTTACTCGTCGGTCCCAAGAGCAATATATACAAGCAATGCTTCGAAGACACATCTGATCGAATACCAGTAACCTACGAATATCCTTGCATCTTACTGGCCACGTTTCACAGCCATAAAGTAGGACGGAGCGAACTTTTGCACAATAAGCTCATCTTTTTGTTGATAGACGGATATCTCGTTTACGCCACAAATAACGCAACTTGGCAAGAGCAAGTCGATCTTTTAAGTCTGATATTATATTATCGTTTTAGTGGAATGTTGAAATATGTCACGATAAATTTATGTAAAATGTAAGTTACAGTTTAAGCACTGAATGGTAAACAAGTGAACCTTCGGAAACAATATAGTAGCTATCACAGGCTAACATTAAAGCAAATGACTGTATAAGGTGAAAACATTGGAACCTTGATATTTTACCGTTCAATTACAAACATGATTAGCATAGATAGATGGAGCTTAACAGTGGACTTCAGAACGCATATTTCATCTTCATTTTAGCCACACAAACTTAATAGATAATTTGATAACATGATGATGCTTGAAGTGAACAGTACTGGGTTCGAGTCCTGGAGTACACATTAACTATGCCATGTAAGTGTACATCCAGTCGACGAGTCACGAATAAGACATAAAGTGCGTTTTGCATTCTACCATTAACCATTTACTTAGAAATAAACAGGAAAAAATTTGTCTGTATGCAAAGAACAAGGTAAAATGAAGTCATCCTTTATTTTCATTACGCAATAAGATATTTATGGGTTGTCTTTTTTTAAAAAAACATATCGACAGTAATCATTCACCAATGACCACCTCTATATGTGTATCCTTGGTTAGTTCAAGAGTTCAAGAGACACCATAAATGTGATGTTATCTTGATAACATACAAACACAACGAATAACACTCAAATTCAATGTGTGGTCAATAGTGAAATATTATTTGACCTAGTATTTTCATTAAAAATTCGATCATTTTTATAAATTGCATTCGTGAAAACAAAATCCACAAAAAAAAATACGTGCAAACATTTTTATCTTCTCTATAGCTTTGATAAATGATGATTGTATATTTATTTTAGTCATGAAATTGAAAACATTTTGCTGTGAAACAAAACGGCATCAAAGATTAAATGAGATTTTTGACTAGTGTAACACAATTCAATGTGTTTGGTTGTAATTTCAGCTAGAATGTACTAGTATAAATCATAGTGTGTTGAAGTTTACCACCACAAATACACATAAATAAATCTCATTATAAACTAATAGCTAATAAAACTTATTACAGGGGTTGTGAAGATTGGTAAGTTACACATTTTTGAAACCATAAATCGATCAATGTTAGACCACCATTAGAAACCTGGAAGCACTGGACGGCCGTTTCGTCCTGGTGTGAGACTCCTCAGCAGTTTCAAAAATGTGTAACTTACCAATCTTCACAACCCCTGTAATGAAAATTACCTGTGCTCACTAGTGACTAGCTTCGTGAGGAATCTTCTCCGAGTTCTAACGGGAAGACGAGACCAGTGAAGTTCAACCTGTTCGGGTGTAGGCAGTGTCTAGCGAAGACTGTGTATGAGGTTGCGCAACTCCGTAAATTTGATCAAGTTAGACATTAACACTGTTAGATACCGGCTCAGTGGTCTAACGGTTAGGGCGTTCGCGCACAATACCGAAGGTCCTGGGTTCGAATCGTGCGGGGTGCAGGAGTCGTGGATGCGCACTGCTGAGGAGTCCCATACCAGGACGAAAAGGCCGTCCAGTGCTTCCAGGTTTCTAATGGTGGTCTGACATTGATCGATTCATGGTTTCAAAAATAATAAAACTTAGTCAGTCAGTCAGCTACAACGTAGAACTTCGTACGTACGTACATCCGTTCAAGTTGTCATACCACATTAGCACACAGAGATCGGATTGTCAATACAAGTCACATAGTGATAGATGTAGTAGAAGTGTGGTGCGCGCTACTTATATAAGTAGTATATGACACGAGTGTAAACGTAATGTCTGGCAGCAGATGATGGGGGAAGATCAAGAAAGCAAGAGTGGGAACACAATGGAATTTGCATGAAACGCATGAATAAGTGAAATGTCAGACAATGGATTGAAGATTTTCAAATTAACGGTTACGATATGGTTTTCCTATTTTACTGAGTAACTCTGTAATTTTCGTTAAATACAATTCGGTTGTCCTCACCTGTGTTCTCCTTCACTACTGAAGTATTGGCGGTAACAAAGGAGATTAAGGTTCGAAGAGATGATTCGAAAAAAATATAAATCAGTGCAATAAATTTAAAAAGAGACAAATGGTCACGAGGAATCCAGAAAACTAGAATTTGAGAGAAGACAAAGAATGGAAGCATCTGCGCCATTTCAAATGATTTTGAGCTATGTCGTTCAAGGTCTCTAACCATTGGTGACTTTCGTCTTGCGGATCCCAACCAGGCAGCCTACATCTACCAACATAACTCAGTCCACTAGTCAGTGACTTGATGGATTTGTGCCATGTTTTGGTCTAGCTGCCCCTAACTTTCTCCCAACCTACTCCTAAACCACCAAGCATAGCTCGTTGAGGCAGTCGGTGGTAGTTAATAAAACTTACATAGAGAAAGATTTGTTTCTGGTTGATACAAAAATATATTGTGAAGTATAATTAAGCATTTTAATAGACTTATGTATACATCTAGCAGGTATATTACAGCACATGGTGATTCACATGCGCTGTATACAGTTTAGATACTGAAATTAATGATCATTACCGGCAGTGGGATGAATGTGTTCTCTCTCTCTAAATCCTCTCATATGGTCAATTTCACTGTATTCACACCACCAGGATGTTGTTTACCCCGGTTAGTGGATAAGGAGTATCTACCTAGGTTATTCGAAAAACTTGCATTCTAAACAAATGGCACACATTAAACTCCAAGATCCTGCGAGAATATGTGGCAAAGAATCCATTATTGGTCACAGGACAACAAGAGGCTGTTTCTCCTAACGTTACTCTATTATTGTCTTGTGAATTAGACATCGAATTCTATGTCTCGAGGAGCAGTCTCTGAAAAAGCATCCTAGTCCATACACAAATTCACTAATGTGAGTGTTGCATTAATATTTATATGACCCTTTGTACCAATCTGTGTTTAAGTAAAATGAATTTTTCCAAATAATTAATATTAAACAGTAATATTCCCTCATTAAACATGAGCAACATACTTGGATAACTTTGAGTAGAAAATAATTGTCAACTAGTTTAAACGATAGTAACAGTGGTTTAGTGAGGTCACAGTTGTTTAAACTCATCCTATCTATCATAAAATTTGAGTAGTTCAGAAGTATTGCTTACTCGTATAAAATTAAAATGTGATGTAAAGCCGTGTAGACACATTTATACTTGATAGATGATAACATCAGTTATCGCTTTTGTGTTAGAGTATTATAAAGAACGTAGTAATACCTTGAAATCGTGAATGAATCATTGTTAGACCACCGTTAGAAACCTGGAAAGACGGACATTACGTCTTGATATAGGACTCATCAGCAGTGTGCATCCATGAATCCTGCTACTCACAAAATCTGAACCCAGTACCTTGGGTCTTGCGTGCGAACACCTAATCTCTAGATCACTGTGCCGGTGTCTAAGGGTTTTAATGTCTAACTCTGACCAATCTTGTGCAACCTCAACCAATGTCTTCAAGTGTTACTGCCTACACTCGACAGGGTTGAACTCCACTGACCACGTCTTCTTACTATAAATCTGAGAACGGCACGAAGCTATTCACCATTGAGGTTGCACAAAATCCTTAGATTGATCAGAGTCAGAAATTAACACCGTTGGATGCTGGCTCAGTGGTCTAGGAATTAGACATTCGCGCGCAAGACCGAAGGTCCTGGGTTCGGATTATGAGAGTTGCAGGAGCCGTGGATGAGCACGCCTGATGAGTCCCATACCAGGACGAAATGGTCGTTTTTCAGTGCTTCCAGATTTTTAATGGTGGTCCAACAATGACTGGTTCATGATTCTAATAATGATAATAATATTCTTAGCATTTTAAATACACTGCTGAGACGCCCTAAATTAGTGTGGTGCATACTATTCTCAACGTCACTTATAAATAGCATGCAGTAGAGTTACTACTACTGAAGAGAGTTAGATCCTACAGTATGGAGTGATCAGAGTGTTTTGAAGACTAGAAAGCATTTGAAAGAAGTTCGCCAGTAATCGATCGGTCTATTTACACTTGAGATAAAACTACTACTTATTCACTGAATCCTATATATATATATATATATATATATATATATATATATAGAGAGAGAGAGAGAGAGAGAGAGAGAGAGAGAGAGAGTTCTCGATAGGATCAATATTGATAGAAATAATGTGAATATATATATATATATATAATCAATAAGCTAATAGGTTGATAAAGAAAATAACCTGAAAGCAGTTATTCACTCTCACTCTCTCTCTCTCTCTCGAATTTTCTCTTGTCCAGTTCTCAAATTATTCATGCGCATCAATACATCAACACACACGTATATATTTACATAGATATCAGTAGTTTAGAATGAAGAAAGCAAAATATTTCGAACAAATATCTATGCATAAAATTATACAAGGTAAATTATAACAATGTATTTTCGTTGAGAAATAATAATGCACAATAAATTTACATAATTTAAAGTAGTAAGTAGTCTTTTTATCAATGAATAGCACAGAACATGTTCGCATACAGCACTACTAATAGGTGAACAAACTGACGAAACAACACATTGAGGTGTTGTAGTAACTAGTTGAAAAAAAATGTAAAGGTTAACATGCACAAAAATCGGAACTGATCATCATTTAAATGAGAGCGCACGTGAGAGTGAGAGAAAATAATAAAGTGTATCAGTATTTCGAACCAAAGTAAGTAATCTATCCGTAATAACAATTAAAAAATGATATAATTTACTCGTGAGGTAGTTCATTGTTATTGCTAATGAAAGTACAGGAAGTATTTCGATGGAATTTAGTTTGAATTTTGATTTCCTTAAGAGTTGGAGGAATTTCATCAATCAATCAACTTGCCAGTAAGGTTAACTGGAGATCGTTGAGTAACTGAAGTGTGGCTAAAGGCTAGTCGAACAGCTACCTAGAAAATATTCTGCCAACGATCTGATATGAATAATAGTCAGGTGTTTTACTGAATGAGTCTCGCTACCGGTCGAAATATTAATATTAGTTTCTTTGATAAGTTTGAATAGTTGTCTAATGTAACCTCTATCACTGTTGCCTTTCCCATCTCTTTTGCTTACTCTACGCACTATTCACGATCATGAAGTAGTGAATCTATATTGGTTGAAGTGGTTTGGGCATGTTGAACCAGCGACTACTTCGACAAGCTACGTTTTGTGATGTACGGATAGGCTGGAAGAAGGCTAGGGGCGGCCAAACCAAAACATGGCACAAATCCATGAAGTCAGTGACAAGTGGGCTGAGTCATGTTAGTAAGTGTAGACTACCAGATTCGTGTCCACGAGACTTTAGTGACTGATAGAGACTTTGAATGACATGGCTCAAAATCGTTCACAATCGCGCAGATGGATCCATTCTTTGCCTTCTGTCAAATTATAATCTTCTAAATTTATCATGACCTTTATCTTTCTCTTTTTACATTTATTTCACTGGAATATACATCTTGAATCATATCTTCGGTCACTAGGCTTTTCCACTACAGCTAATACTTCTATTACTACTACTAAGGAGTTTGCATCGATAAACGCATCTCTGTGCTAACATGGTATGGCAACTCGAACTGATACACGAATGTACCAAGTTCTAAGTTGTAACTGACTAACCAACCAACTAACTGCTCACGATCATTGATTGCGTGTAGATGTCGTGAATACGTACTGACGAAGAGTACTACTATACTACGACAAAACAGTCGTCCAGTGTTTCCAGGTTTCTAACGATGATCTATCTAGCTTATTACCTACTAGTTCATGATTTCAACCATGAAACTAATTCTAAAAATCATTGACGATAGTTATAGTAATAATAATAATAATAATAAGTTCGTAAACTATAGTTTTTTTATCAAAATGAAACAATGTTGATTTCATTAGCTGTAAGTATGAATAGAATAAACTCATTATCAGATATATATATAAATATATATATAAAATTACACATAACTTTCGTAGTGAATATATAACCTGTACAAAAATGTAATTCTTTTTTTTTCTATAAAAAACATAAACGCTAATTAACAACAACTACTACTACTACTACTAATCCTATAAACAATTTTGCTAAGTTTACAAAAATATTAAAAAACATGCAATTTCATAAACGTTAAGGTCATAATATACGTGTGTACATGCACATGCGCACACACACTAATAATTTAATTGACATTACAACAAACTAAAATTCAATTAAAATTACAATGAATGATTGTTGATTTGAATTTCTGTTTTTTGATCTGAATCGAGTGAAATAGTTCGTTGACTAATAAATAACACAATTACTGATCGCATATCATATAGGATACAGTTAAAAGTAAATAATTTCATAATAGCAGCTTGCTTATTCTCAATCGGTCTTACACATCGAATGAAGTCAATAGTCAGTCAGTCAGTCAGATGAAACGTAGAACTTCGTACGTAAGTACATCAGTTCATGTCGCCATACCACATCAGCACAGAGATATAATTGTCAATTCAAATCCAATAGTAGAAGAGGTAGTAAAGGTATTAGAAGTAATCGGAGAGGTTAGGATTAGAACATACTATTCAAGAAGTATGATTCAGTGAGAAAAGTTAAGGAAGTCAAAACTAGAGGTGTTGAAGAATTCAGAAGATTAGGATTTGAGAGAACACAAAGAATAAATGCACCGGCGCCATTGCAAACGATTCTGAACCATGTCATTCAAGATCTCTAACCATCGATTATTATCATCTCGCGGACCCCAACCAGGTAGTCGACAATTACCGACATGGCTAAGTCCACTCGTCAGTGACTTCATGGATTTCTGCCGTGTTTTGGTCTGGCCGCCCCTAACTTTCTTCCAACCTATTCCTACACCACAAAACAAAGTTCGTAGAGGCAGTCGGTGGATAGGCATACGCAGCACATGTCCTAACCACCTCAAATGATGAAGTGTCACTACTGCGTCTATTGATCTGCCATTCTTACCTAGCACCCGATTCCTAATAACAGCGTTGCTCACTCGGGTGTCCCATGATACACGAGCAATGCTTCGGAGAGATCGATGATCAAAGACTAGTAACCTACGGAAGTCCTCTACTCTTAACGGCCACGTCTCGCATCCATACAGTAGGACGGGGCGCACTGCTGCACAGTACACTCGTCCTTTAGTCAGCGAACGGATATCTCGCCTGCGCCATATGTGACGCAGGTAGACAAAAGCCAGTCGAGTCAATAAGATCAAATTGGATAATTGATTATCATTATTAATCAAGTCATGAACTGATCATCATTGGAAATATTAGTGTATGTGACTGACTGCCAGTGCACACCAGCTGGAATGGAACTCATAACCTTTCATCTGACGTGTGAACCTGCAAAAATATGAACTACTGACTATAAGTAAATAAGTGATAATTACAATATTCTATCAAATGACAAGGTATTTCTACAATTGAAGAGTATTTGGAACTCAGAACAACTCTCAACCAACACCAAAGTCAGAATTCTCAATACGAGACAATTCTACTGCATGGGGCAAAAACCTGGAGAACTGTAAAAGCCATCATATAGAAGATACGAGTGTTTATTAATAGTTGACTACTAAACATATTGAGGATCCGTTAACCAGACACTATCAATAACAACCTACTGTGGTAGAGAACAAATCAGATTAAATCAGACAAAGAAATCAGGAAAAATTGCTGGGGTTGGTGAATAGGACATATATTGAGGAGATCACCCAACTGAGTCATAACACAAGCCCTCACCTGGAATCCTCACAGCAAAAGGCAAAGAGGAAGACTAAAGAACAAATTACGCCGAGAAATAAAGACAGACATGAGAAGAATAAACAATAATTGGACAGAGTAGGTTGGAGAATACCGGTCGGTAGACTATCATCCACTAGAGGTGACAGGCGTAAATAAGTTAGTATTGGAACAGAAGCATACTATAAAGAAACATGCTTTACATAAATTACTGAACTTGTGTGCATGCATAGAAGCTAACTGTGCGCTCAAATCAAAATAGTTGGTTCTCAAGGATTTTTCCTGGGCCTTCGGCTTACAGGTTCAATCCACAAGGTAGAGGAGCAACGTTAAGGGGTGTAGTCTCAAGTGAGCCAGTGACCATAGTATAATACATCCTTTGTCCCATATATATATGTGTTTGATATTGAGTACATGGGATGTGAGCTAGTAGTGGAATCTAGGATGCGTAAGACATATAAATATTTGAGTGCTTCTTC